AGCAGAGCATCACCTTCATTTTCTTTTATACATCATCAGACATTCAAGATTTAGATTTATTGACAACAGCTAAAGCCAATGCTAGTCATCACCAGCGAGCAGCTTTTGCCTCCAGCTGGCGGTTGGAGGGCGGATCCAGTTGAGCAATTTGACATTTCAAACTCAGCTTGCTCAGTGAATGAGGCCATTTTATTGACGTTGGTTTATTTTGCAAAATTGCTATGGAAACACTTTTTTTGCATCACGAGTCACATGATCAACAGTTACTACTGTGGAAAAGACAGAAAAAGGTGGCAGGAAGTGGGAGGATGATGATGGTGCTGCATTTTACTTAGAACAACTAAAACATGGAAAAACTTCTGTAGTTTCTTATTTAACTGAAAGTACGCAGTTTATTTGAACTAAGCAGGATATTAGTAAAGTTTTGTAACGGAAGCGCAGCTTCGTGATGAAGTGAACAGGCTGTTACTTGTCGGAGCTGTCGGTGTCGTGCGACTCCCTCCGCTCGGCCCGCTCCTCCTTGTACTCGGAGGAGGAGGAGGATCGGCGGAGGCTGCGCCGGGATTGCTTCCGCCTCGGCTGCTCCCTCTCCGGGGGGTCCCTCTCCTCCAGCTCCCCCGTCACGCCCTCCATGTTGTCCACGTGGGGTACGCCACCAGGTTGATGTAGCCGTCGGAATCGCCTTCGAAGCACACCAGGACCACGCCTGACGGACAGAACCAGAGACCATCAGAAACAGACGTTCGATCGGTTAAAATGCTGCTGAGCTACTTTTCTGCAGTAAATATCAATAATATTAATCTCATTATTACCCCGAGGTGGGGAGACTAGTTGCATTGTTTTTAAGTTAGACAGGATCAAGGCTTAAGCTTGTTTATTTTTGTCATAGCAACCCCATAGCGTGATGTCACGAGAACTTTTCCGCAAGTTATAGGAACTGGTTTAGGAGATAATTTATTCATTAATGATTGGCAAATGATTTCATTATAACAAGACCTTTTTCCGTGTTTCAAGTGAAATAAACTGCCAGAGTAACTAGAACCTTCAATATTCAAGAACTATTGACTTAAGACAATAAGTCTGTATTGACTGAAGTCAAGCTCTTAAAAGTTACTTGTAAGTTAGTTGTGTCTCATTTCAAGTGGAATAAGACATTTGCAGTAGAAACTAGACCAAAGATACTTGGTAAGATTTTGTGTTTTTCAGTCTGTTGTTTATAAAAGTGCTTCAGATCCTCAGTGTGATCAGACGTTTATTCAAATCTGGGATATTTTCCTGACCTGCTCTGAGTGTCGGGTGACGCGTTCGTCCAGAGGCAGAAATAAACAAATCAAACCATTAAGTCCTCCAGATCTAATTTTCCTAATTATTTCCACAGAAACCAGGAGGAAACTCCCTCCGTTCATAATAATGTCACAATAAAAGTCAGCTCAGCTTCTCTTTCATGTAAACAGTCAGACTTTCCACCTGCTAGCATCTTCTGCAGAGGCGCCTCCATCTGCAGAGCCACTGAGCAGCACAATGTTTCATCAGATAGTGTCAGAAAATATGTGGGCAAAACAACCTTGACGGCTTGGAGAAGCAGCTCCTGGGCAGCTGTCTGTCTGCTGTTATTTAATCAGCAGGACAATGGCAGCAGGCAGGGATCCAGGGCTAAATATAGGCCGGCTGGGCGGCCGTCAACATCGGCGAGGACTGGGTGGAATGCAGACCCACCGGAGAAAATATCCAGTCAGACCCACAGACGGAGTCTGTTTCCACTCAAATACACCTGAACTTCACTTTCAGATTTCAGAAGGTTGTTTTTCTATGGATGGAATAAAATCTGCAAACACTAATATTTCTCCATAGTTTTTGCTACAACAGCAGCTCTGATTGGTTCTTTTGTTCATTTCTTTGGGTTCAGGGATGCAATTATTCCCTCTGGTCTGGACGTTGTGCATTTGGGAGGATTTTGGTCCTAATTTTTAACTTTCAGACAACTATGACGTGCAACCACAGTAACAAGGTACCATTTTTAAAAATGGGAACAGCTAATTAGAATATAAAAACTCAAATAACACCTGAACTTTGACACCAAATCAAAGGAAATCCTGATGGATGCAGAATGGGAGGAGCCATCAGAGATCGAATCCCCATTTCCACCCAAACGGCCAGAATTGCTGCCCCTTGATTAAAAACGAGGAGCAGCAAAAGCAAATGAGGTGGAAAAGCAGCTGTCATGTCGGACTTCGGTTTTAGTTTTGATATTTTGTGTTGTTTGTGTGACAAAAAGATGATTAAAAAAAAGTTTTTACATCTTGAAATTCATCAGAACCAAAAGGAAAATTATTTTTATCACTGATCTGCATCTAACTAAATTTATTGAGATTTATTGATGATGTCATGGATCCAAATGTGGAGAAAATGGTAAATCCTGAACAGACTTTTAGCTTTGGGATGTTGTCGCTGTCAGGATGAAACTTTTTTCACGATGTAATGGGAGGTTTGAAAATCCCTGCATTATGCAAGATGACTGAAGATTTTTCCTTTTGCTTCCTGTGGAAACAGGAAGTTGCTCCAGTAGCACCAGCATGTCTGTGTTTCTTGTCCATTTTCTTTAAAGGCCTTTCAGTCCCTCCCAGGGACAAAACCTCACCAAACTGAATGCATTATTTCAGATGATTATGAAGTAATTTCTCCAAACACAACCGAACGTCTGGCTTTCAGTCTCAGTATTTGTGTTTGTTTAAACTGTGAATTTGTCCCATTAAAGCTGCTGCGATTTTTCTAACAAAGAGCTCGGTAAGTAAGTGGGTCACGCTGGTTTCCAGTTAGTCGTGTCCTGGTTTTGGGAATGACTGCAGCAGGTTGATGGGACGGTTTCGTCACAGCGACTGCCGCGGCGCTGCTGGTCGACGTGTGCAGCTGACAGTTTGGGCTCTCCGGGTCCGGCCGACCCGTCACAACAAGCTGCCAGGTTCGTGCTTTCACTTCATCTATCAGCCCAACTCAAACTCTCAACATTTTTCACCCTCTTTTTTCTTTCAAAACACCCCAGTGTTTAAAGTCATGAGTAGAAAAAAAGAAAAAAAAAATCAAAATATTAAAAGGGAACTATTATGCAAAATTTTCATTTTGCATGTTTTTTGTCCATTTTGGTCTTTATGCTTCTAAAAACAACTCAAGCACTTTAAAAAAAACTCACCAAACCGATTCTGGCAATACGTTAGTTTTTTTTGGTGTCTGGAAAACAAGCAGACAGGAGGCCCTAAAAATCTCTCAAATCTTGAGTCACAGTTTGCCATTGCCTAGCAACCAGGTCCGTTACCTAGCAACCCTGGCAAAAGTTCCAGCAGGTTTAGTCAGCCGGTGCATGCGCTGTACAATGGCTGCTGAAAAAACACAAATGTTTTCTTGTTGATTTGCCGTCCAGAAACCACTTGCTGCGTTATTATTGGTTGAGCAGAAGGTTCCACTGACGCTTTTCAAAGCTATACAGCTGTATAATTGCTTATCTATTTGCAGCCATTTTTATGTTTGAGTACAAACGTTGAGTTGGGGGCATGGCCAGCAGCAGATGATTTGGATTTAAAGTGACAGGAGGCCCTAAACCAGCTCAAAATACACAGAGCTGCGCAAAATAAAACGATAATCTTGTGTAAAAAATTTTATGAACATGTTTTGTACAGATCTATCCTAACCTGTTCAAGGAAGCATAACAGGCCAGCTTTAAAGAAAAAAGACTCCAAAAAGCCCTCCTCGTTTTAACAGACTGATTAACAAGGCGCCTGCTCCATCAACCAGGATGTGTTTCTACTAACAGGGAACAGGACCAACGCTGTCGGCGTTTGTTTGGGTCTGTTTCTACATCATCAGGCTGTCAGGCAGATCCAGCAGCTGATGGAGAACAGAGCCGCGACGTCTCCTCTCCCACTAAACATCCGGATCTCCTTCCTCCTCTGCGTCATTCTGCCACTGCAGCCGTTTAGCAGCAAGTTATTCTGAGCCAAGCAAATATTACAGAGACTTACTAAATTACTTGATGATTACTTTGGTAATTGATTAATAAATTCAGCTCCAGTAATGTGTGCAGCGGATTTCATAATGCTGCATTGAGATGCAGGTCTGGCGGCATGAAGAGCCCAGCGGTTCTGATCCGAAACATCAGAGAGCGGCGACTGACCTTTATACTCAGGAGTGAACTCCTTCATCTCAGGAGGCAGAGACTCATAGAAGCGCTGCTCTCTGCTGATCAGAGGCTTACACACGGTGTGGTCATCGTACCGCATCATGCTGGTGTGACCCCCACCTGCAACACACACACACACAGGCATGAAAAGCTACCCAGCATCCTGAATTCACAGAAATAAACAAAGAACTGCAAAGAAACCAAATCTGAAAGTATTTTTGCCTAGTTTCTAGTGCAAACCTAGAACCCTTGAATTAACTTAGAAACAACATTTTAGCAAGACGCAGGTGTTTGATTTTGTTTCCTCTTTTGAGCTGTGTCCTGTCACTTTAAATCCAAATTGAGGTAAAACCAGCTGACCAAACATGCTGGAGCTCTGCTGGGGTTGCTCGGTAACTGCTAGGTGCTGATTTGTGACGTTACATTCAGAAAGTTCTTGAAAAAGTTCGTCTTCCAGACACACAAAAAGCATTTCTTTATTGACAGAAGACAGCTGGATGGTATTTTTTAAAGTGTTTTAAGAAGCATCAAATGTTGCATTTTAGTTAATAATTTCTTAATATTGATGAAAAAGTACTAAATTCACTGGCTGATTATTTCACTTATGGGAAAAATGTCCCAAAAGTGTTTTCATCAATATTAAGGAATTATTGGTAATTCCTACGTCTTGACAAAAGTTAATTATAAGTTTGTTTCATGTTTCATGTGTCTTAATTCAAGGATTCTAAGATATTTGCACTAGAAACTAAAATGACTTTGTAAGAGTTCTGTTTTGCAGTGTAATCAGGTTCTTTGTATTCAGGGCTTTTTGTCGGGTCCGGCTCACCTGGTGTATGAAGGGCTCCAGAGAAACGCCTCCATCTTGTGGTCTCACCCCTCCCCCGGTCACCGGCCCCTGTTGCTTACTGTCCATGCTGCTGGGTGGAGGGAGGCACATGGCTCCTGGCGGACGCACCGCAATTCCTGCTGACGAGGAGGACAACATCAAACGATGAAGGCCGATCCGTTTAGAGCAGGTCGCAGCCGGGTCTTACCCTGAACATGGGCTCGGGAGGGGTCGGCGCAGGGCACCACGGGCTGCTGGGAGCGCACGCCGGCCCCAGGGGGAGGCGGCGCCAGACCGAATAGCCACTTAATAAAGCGTCCAAGGAGAGTCCAATCCACCACCGACAGAACCCCAGTGCGCTGAGGCTTGGTGCTGGGGGACAGGATGAGGGGGAACCACAGGAATCGCAGGGTGTCAGTCAGGGGGGTCACCGCTTACTGCAAGGACAGGAAGTGACACAAAGCAGAGACTTAATGATTCATAATATCAGAGAGGCGTTCTCTTTCCCCTAAAAGCTAAAACAATGTGTCCTAAAAACAGAAGGAGGCCAAACACGGTTCCTGGGGACCGCCAGATCCAATTAACCATTTTCTAACAAAGCAGAGTAGAAAACATCAGAACAGACTCCAGCTTACAGTCGTGGCCTGGAGGAAGAGGAGGAAGAGGTCACCTGACCTCCAGGAGGGCCGACATGTTGATGAGTTTAACTGGGGCGGGACAATAAATCAATCTTATTGATGAATCACTTTTTTGTTTTTAGTATTTGGAAAATCTGGATTTTTTTCCTCATCAGTGAACTCCTCGGGTTTCCAAGTTCAGAGTCACTCTAGTGCACCCTGCGCCGCCATCTTGTTTTACAATTTCTATCTATTTGGACTTTGAATTCAACTCTGACAAAATATCAGGGCCAGGCTGGAATTCTTTATTTTTAATCAAAGCAGAAAATCATCAAAATGAACAGAAATAAAAGCTTGAAAACATGATTCTGAGTGCAAATAATCCATGTAATCTGCTACAAGTAAAAATTTTAGTAAAATAAACAAAAGTTTCAATAATATTCTGATTTACTTAGGGCTGCAATTACAACTAATTTTAATAATCTTTTATAGATCAAATTTTTTAAAATCAGACATTCTACAGATTTTTAATTTAAATGTTTTAAAGAATATTAGAAACACAATAAAAGATGCAAATAAGTAAAAGATTTTATTGCCTAAACTGCGCCTTCAGCATTCTGTTTAGTGAAACTAAATCGATACCATCTGATTAAAACATAATTTACAAAATGTGCTTTGATCTTAATGCAAAATGTAGATATATTTTTTATATTTTGGCTTAATTACTGCTCAACATGATCTTTCAGTAAATGGCCTTTTTCTGTGTTTATGCTACAGTTAACGGTTAATTGATCATTAAATTATTTGACAATAATTTTAATTAATCGTTTCAGTTCATAAATAGATATTTTCACAGTTTCTTGTTGCAGAACTTGAAAACCCACAGAGTCCTGATGTCAACCAACATCTCAAATGACCCAGAGTTAAAGCAATCAGATCCACCAGAACCAGGACCAGAACCAGGACCAGAACCAGCAGTAACCAGGACCAGAACCAGCACCAGAACCAGCAGTAACCAGGACCAGAACCAGCAGTAACCAGGACCAGAACCAGCAGTAACCAGGACCAGAACCAGCACCAGAACCAGAACCAGGACCAGAACCAGGACCAGAACCAGCAGTTCTGAACGGCCTTGTGGATGGATGGGAACGACCCAGTCCAGCGTGTCGTCACGGTAACAAACGCTTTACAAAACACGACTCTTCACAGGGCGCAGAAATAAAACCGCAGCGGAAAAACTCCTGTCGGATCTTAAATCACAATCTAACCTTGAGCACACACACACACACACACACACACACACACACACACACACACACACACACACACACACACACACACCACACACACACACACACACACAGAAACCCAGCCTTTCCCATGAGCAATGCATTTCAGTTAGAGGAGAGATGTGTAAACATCGGCTGTGGGATCAGCAGAACCTCTGAGTCGTTTCCTTCGGGGAGCCGCCGTTTATTGTAACACGTTTGCTTGACAAAACAGCAGCACAGCAACTAATGATTATCCAGTAATCGACGAATCTGTTGAATATTCTCGGAGTTAAATCTGATTAAAATATTGGCACATTCTGCAGGTTTTTATTTAAGCATTTAAGGCTTTTTAATACAAAAAATGCATATTAAGATTAAAATATTAACTGTATTAACTATTCTCTCTGCATAGAGAATAGCAGCAGGACTGCACTGCCTGCTGGCTCATTATTTAAGTTATGGGCCTGTAATATAAGTGTTTTTTGTGTAATGGAGCTTAAAAATATGCTTTAACCAACAAGAGGTGATCCAGTAATTATCAGAGCACCAGACTCCATTTGGACCGTTTCTCTTCCCTGTTCTGGTATGGACCCGCCATCTTTGTTTCTGTGCCAACTGGCTCTGCTTAAGGATTATCAGCGGCGCCCTCTGATGGATGAGAGAAGCTCCAAATGGTTCATTGTTTTCATTCCTAATTGTAATATACTTTTACAGCCAATATGATAAATGTTCTTTTCTTTGTTGAGCTTTAGCCAGCGTTCTGCCATTTTCTGAATGTTCTAGCATCACAGCCACTGAAGGTTTGGAGTCTCTCTAACTGGGTAAACATGTTATTGTTATGAGAGGCATAAATATAGCATCTCTTCAATAATTGGACACAGTGAAATTACAGCGATGATTGCAGCTGGATATGTTATGCAGCAGTAGTGTACAGACCTAATATGGGGAATTGGTACCAGTGCAAAACATGCATCTATTTTTTATGTTAAGGATTAAACCAGGCTGATGACTCATTGGTTTCATGAATTAAAACAGTCAATTAATTTTATAATTTTTTTTTATAATAATGAATTAGTAATAACCCACTGAGCGAAGGAGGAAGAGAGACTAACATCTCATTGCCTTTATTTACGCCATATGAACACATCTTCTCTGCAAAATCAATTACATTTCTGAATTTTGTGCTTTAAAACTAAACTTTGCTTGTATAAACAGAATCAGGACAGCTGTTAAAATAAGAGCAGATCAATCAGGGAGCCGCTTGATGTCCCAACTGCTTGAAGGAAGAATGTACCGCCTGATTCAGCAGCCAGCTACTAAATTATCAGTGTGTGTGGTGTGTGTGTGTGTGTGTGTGTGTGTGTTGTGTGTGTGTGTGTGTGTGTGTGTGTGTGTGTGCGTGAGTGTGTGTGTGTGTGTGTGTGGAGCCCTCGATGTTTATGGGTTTCTGTGTCTCTGGGAATTGATGGAGTGACAGGTGTGTGTCTGGGCTGCTGGAGAGCGAAGGGACGTCCTTTCATGCATGTTAACCCAACACACACTGGACTATTTCAAAAGTCCAACTGACCTCAAATACATCAGGAGATGATCTCTCCTATTGCTGTAATCTTCACCTTAATACATTTTTCTTTCCTCCATTAAAGATAAAATAAAAACAGTCTTTAGGTTTTTATTTAACCATGATTTGTTGCTTGGTCTAAACCAGTGATGCCAAAAGTCAATCCTCAAGGGTTTTGGTTCTTTCTCTGGTTCAACATTGGGTGGACTTTCAAATTCAAAGTTATTTGTGAAAAACTCACCTATTTATATTTGTTTCTGTTGAGCACATTTAAAATATTTGTAAGTAAATGCAGCTCAGGAAGCTGAAATACCCAGACGCATCGTTCTTGATACGCCATTGGCTGGGTTTGTAAAGCAGCCAATCTTGGCGCGCCGGTCCTGTTGCATGGCGCTGATTGGCTAAACCCCAGAGAGTGGAGATAAGAAAGACTGTGGACGTTAGCTTCTGCGGTAGCACCAAGACTATTTCCACTGCTCTTATTGATGCATATTAAGGGATTATTAAAACAGGCAGTTAGAAGCATTTTTAGAAAAGGTCTCAACAGTTTGCAGGCCGATGTGGACACCATGGGGTCCACTATGTTTACGTCTTTGCTTCAGATTAAAAAACCTTCAAGAACAGCAGACTGCCCCTTTTAGGGTGTTTTGCTGCCTGGTAGTCCGGTATGCTCTGTTCAGGGACCAAAATTACTACATTCATTATATTTTGAGCTGCTTTGTGTAAAACCAAACAAACTAATTGAAAAACCTGTTTTCTTTCCTGCCTGTGGGGGCACTACACCAAGAACCACTGAAAGAAACAACAGGAAAATCTCTGAAGAAGACACTGAACATTACTTCGTTCTTCTGGAAATTTAAACAAAAATATAGAGGAATCAGATTTTAGCAGTTGTAGGATTTCTCTTTTTTGTCTTTGGTTAAAAAGAAAAAAACAAAAAAAGAAACATGAGCCATTTCTCTTGCTAGCGCTAAACAAGTGTGTTTGTTTTGGTTGTATTTACCCAGAATGCCCTGTGCTGTAGTCCACTTCCTGCTTTTGGAGCGATCTTCAATCAGGTTGGCATTCACATATGCATTCAAACCGAACCAGAGTTCAAAGCGAGACAGAGGTTTGTATGCGGAGCAGATTTTGCTTTTTTGATCCGATTGCGTGTTCACACCTCCCCAAACGAACCAAACTTTCTAAACAAATGGAGTGGAGTTCGATTCAAGCAGACCCAATAGGGCTGGTGTGAATGAAAAGTTAAAGATATGCTTACAGTAGCAGATGATCAGTTAATTACATATTTGAAAGGAAAAATTCTCCCCTCTCTTTACTCCTTTGGGTTTTCAGTTTTTCAAACTGCAGCCAAATGTTGCATCAACTTCTGTTGAAACAAAATTAATGCAATCATTAGACCTAAATATCCACTTATTTTACCATATTTTACTTTTATTTACCCATTCTTTGATGTTTTCTTTCTTCAACCAAATTAAATCTAAAGAATAATCACAGTGGCTTAGCAGGCCACAGAAAACCACCTTTCTGTCTTCTACAAAACCTCTTCAGCATCATTAACCTCTTGTTTCTCAGTCCACCATTCCAACAAACAAACAAGCAAAGGTAAAAACAACGTCACGTCTAATCTGACCCCCCATGTCCTTCTTGGTGCGGTGAGCAACCTGATCAGACAGCCAATCAGCTTAGAGGATCTGTGTGAGCATATCTTACATCATCAGCAATCACCGGGACAAAGCCGCCGGTCCGCCTCAGCTCTACAACGCTGACAGACTGATTAAGCAGCTATTTCGAACTGACTGACCACAGGGCTGGGCGTGTGTGTGTGTGTGTGTGAATCCTCCGTCCTTCACTAAGTCACAGATGAGAGAGCCAATTAGGGACTTCCAGAAATATCCAAGAGTCGAAGTAAACAGTTTTAGTGTTTTTGGAAGTGAACGTTTTCAATTTTAAAATCAGAAGTTTTTAAAGTTCTTACACCTTGTCCCTAG